GAATGTCAGCAACCAATATGAGAACAAAATTGCAGGCTGTCTCGCAAGGTTCTCAGTGTAAAAAAAAAAGGCGCACGTCTAACTGTCCGTGTTGTCATTGGCATGTCTTGGAAAGAGCATTTTCCCAGCTGACCTGGAAAACTGATTCGGGAAGGGAGCAACGAATCCGATACTTTATATACAAAACCTATTTTCAACAAGTGACTGACAAAAAGTGGACAACTAAGTAGTGAATAAAATGCACAGATAATAAAAATTTACAAAATCTAGAAAAATAAAATATACGTTTATAGAATTTTATTGTTTACAATATGCTATATTTGTGGAAGAAGAGTGCTCAATAAAATAGACATAGAAATAAAATCTGCTCGACGATTGTCAGTTTCACGCCTTACGCGATTTTCATACCAAATGACGTATGGCCTGAAGATTGCTTGAGGCATAATATTGACAGTCATCTATCTATCTATCTATCTATCTATCTATCTATCTATCTATAAACATTGATAGTTTTGGTTCTGAGAATTGGTTCTAACCGAATATAAAAGCGACGAATAAAAAAAAAATATCTGTTTGTCCTTTTTTAGTAATAAATTTATTTTAGTCCCCGTGTCTACCTTTTTTTGATTATTGTCGTTCAAATAGATCTTTCTGAAGAAGTGTTGGACGAAAAAGGTCCCTTTAAAAGAAGAATGCGTTCATTTTCAAAGCCACACACACACACACAAACACACATATACACACGCGCGTGGGCGCGCGCGCGTGTGTGTGTGTGTGTACGCGCGCGTGTGTGTGTGTGTGTATTCGTCAAAATTTTACCAAACCAGTGGTAACAAAAATGACAGTAACTAGAATTAAATAATTGTGATAAAATAATGATTATAAACTAACTGCATTTATCTAGGTGAAAATCTTAATATATGAACTTGGTAGCGATCTGCTGACGACGAAAAGCTGACGTAGCTTACATGGTTGTCCTTCGTATACAAAAAAGACGTATTTTGCGATTCATCGGTGAATCCCGGAGTGGTTGCGCAACCTAAGTCTGGACGCGAGAGTCTGGGGCAGCGAGGACACTGGCAGTCATTGACTGTGATCAGTGCTAAATTTGCACATAGGTACTGTTCTCTTAGTGAGCTTTTGACGCCGATATTTGCAGAGGCTTGGTGGACAAAGACACGCTACCACGATTGGTTGGCAGCACACTCTTCTAGCTCCTTTGATCTGATCTTACACAGGCGCAGATTATTTTCTTTGTATCGTTTCTTTGGTCTGTCTTCTCCCACATAGCAGTTCTACGTACAACAGCCGCCTGGGAATGTAGTATTGCTCCAGGCGAATGACGTGGCCAGTTCATCGAACTTGTACCTTAATGAGCATTGATTCGATGCTGGTCGAGTCCGCACAGTCCAAAATTTCAAGGTTGGTGATACAATTCTGCAACATAATTTCAAGTTTGGAGAGAAGAGCCCGCATGTGTTTTTCCCAATTTCTTGAAGTGTTTGCGGTACATGGTCCACATTTCACATATTAAAGAATATTAAATCAATACACAATTAAGAAGAATTTTGGTTCTAAGCATTGAACAATATGAAGATAATATTTTATTTGTACTTGAAAGAACTCACTATTTTCTTTCCTCTTCTCATTCACACACTTTTATATTAGCTTTTTTTTCATATTCAAAGGAAAATGAAAAATATGATTTTGATCATAGGGATATTTTTGATAAATTATTCTAAATTGCACTTTTTTAGCTGAAAGATCACAGAAGAAATAAACAATAAATAATTAACAGTTTAAATCCAATTGGAAACTAAATCTGTGTTCAGGTTTATCTATATTTATTAAGTTTAAATTTGTTTGGCACAAGGCCAGAATAATGGAGCATCTAGTGAAGATTGGAGTATCTACACAAACGATCTGTGTCATGAAATTGTTAACAATCACTTTTAGATATTTGGGTTTGAAAAATCCGCTTGTAGCGACTCGGTAGAGCAGAAAGGTGTAATGTTGATGATAAAGTCTTTCTTTTCAGTCGCATATTGCTTTTGATATTGTTAACTCTTTATTGTCTAGGAGTCTGGATTTGCTTACATTATTTATATTATTCAGACTGTTTTCCTCATTTTCATTGCCATATTCACAACGTTTTTCAAAATTCCCAACACGTTTGTTCTTCATTCATCATGTAAGTTTCGGACACATGACATCCTGATAAAGATTCCCGTGAAAAGAGTGTGAAAAAGTTTGAGATAATACGTAACAATTTCTCTTGAGCAGCTAATGGGGATTTTACCAATGGATCATAATGTGTATCCTATAGATAGATCATAGTGTGGATCACAGTGCGCATTTTATAGATGGATTAGGATAATGCTAATATGTGTGCGCGCGCTTGTGATGATATTCAACGTATTGTTCTGGAAATTTGACCAAGAAATTTCTTTAACTAATTTAACTGTTCGATTCTACGGTTCTCTTTGGACTAATCACCTGTGAACAGGTATACTGATATCCCACAAAAGGTTGCGGCAAATGTCGATTCTCGCTCTTCGTTAAAAATGTCAGAACTTCTGAGTAGGGTTTATGCTTATATATATATATATATATATATATATATATATATATATATATATGTGTGTGTGTGTGTGTGTGTGTGTGTGTCAATACACGCACATACTCATATTTATGCATATGCAGATTGTTAGATTGATACACATACATATATCTATATACAAAGTATGCACACCTATACTGATATATATATATATATATATATATATATATATATATATATATATATATATATATATATATATATATATATATATATATATTCGGACAAACAAACATGCACACACATACAGGAGTGTTCCGAAAGTTATGGCTCCTATTTTATTATGTTGGGTATAAATGTTTCGAAGCGAATGTTGACGGCATGGCACAGTAGAAGCCGATTCTTTCCTCGAACAAGTCATGAGTTTTGCCTTGTTTCAGATAGCGGATTAGCAAAATAACGCCTTGATGATGAAAGTGCATACGAAACAGAGTTGCGTCACTGAATTCAAGCACGCAGAAAAATATTGCGCTTTCATCGATATTTTTCGGAACATTTACAGAGACCAAACAATTGATGCAAGCACAGTTAGACGTTAGGGATGATGTGTAGCGATAACCATGTATGTGAAACGTCGCTTTATGTGTGTCATCACACTACGAAATTAAGAGGGCCTTGAAAATGCATGGCTTTGTGGGGAAACAGCGTTATTTTAGCTGAAAAATTGTTCTATCCAAAGGTGTCATTATGCTCCCTGTATCAGCTGTTTTTCAAGGGGAATAAATAGGGGCATTACTTTCAGAGCCTCTATCTCCCTCTCTCTATCCACACACACACACACACACACACACACACACACACACACGTGTGTGTGTGTGTGTGTCTGGGGTAGAGAGAGAGAAAGTAAGAGAGTGAGAGGGCTACTGATGATGTTTTTTGTATTTTTCTGATTAGCGTAATAACACTTAGTGTTAGTTATATTTGAACGTCTGCGTCAGGTTAGAGATTTTTATTATAAGTCAGAGTTTGTTACAAATATAACTTTTACCATGCGAATTCAGATTAAACAATAATGTTACTTATTAGAAGGATTAAGTTTTCAACAATACATATCATAACATGTCTTGTCAAATGTATCGTCGAACTTATGTAGTGCTTTATAAATTTATATAATATATTCGGAGATGTTAATTATCGGGGTGTGAAGGTTTATTTTTGACAATACTTTTATCTCAGTTGGTATCTCAAGCGGTATAAATAGCACAGATGTGAATATGTTATATCAACATAAGTATATACGTATGCAAATAATAGATGTAAGGACTCTATTGACTGAAGGGAAGGAGACAATATTTAATGAGGATTCTTTGTATTCTCCCCTTGACTAAAATATAGTGACACACTTACTCGTATATATTTGGATAGATCGTGTTGCATAAAGAATTCCAAGAATATGTTCTTTTCCCACACCCTTTGTAGTATCTCGTGTAAACGCCTTTTTCCTATTCTAATAATTTAAAGGCAGTGGGTAACAGCTTTAAGAAATATCTTGTGCCGTTGATGTTTTTAATTTTGTTCCAAAAACCAGAGATAAATTGTTTGGCAAACCAATACTTAATCTTGCCAAAGTTAGCAGCCGTATAGTTTTGGATCTCAGCGCAAAAAAAAGAAGAAAACTATAAGGTTTGCAAGGTCTTGATTGTATTCTACTTGTTTTATTTTTAAGCTATTGAATCTTTTTTTTTATGTTGCTGTAACCTGAAAAGTAACTGTTCCATATCTAACAAATACACCTTGTCCAGATTTAGCAATCGTACACGCAATACTACTCCAAAAAACAAAACAAAACAACTGTAATGATAAAAGTACGCAGGTGTAGGCTTTAAGAAAGCTTGATTCAACTGAGAATACAAAGTTCGCGTATAGTGTCCTTTTATAGTCTCAGTAAACAGAAATAGCTCTCTCAAAGAGGAAAGTAACAAAACAAGGGGAGACCACTCGTGATTATTCATAACAACAACAATAACCAAAAAATTTAAACGGCGAGTCAAAAGGACGTTTTCCCCCTGACATCGCTATCACTGTATATACTCTCCTGGAAATGTTTATTGTTTTAAAACTCTATGTTTAAAATTTTGATAAGAATTATTTATTATTATTTAAATTTATATAACCTCGATTAAAAAAATATATAAATTTTCGAATTGATTTGCAAGAATTTAAAAAAAAATCTGTTTTCTTACCCGTAAAAAAGGACATTTTTCTCCTTGACATCGTTACTACTCTGTGCTCTCTCGGCAATATTTATTGTTTTAAAACGCTATGTTTTAAATTTTAATAACAACAAAATTTTACACACTATTTAGTTGTTTAGATTGTTTATGTACAAGATACGTTGCAATAAAATCAAAAGATTTTGTTTTATGTTATATACAGTTTAACGGCCATGTCACGTTCCAACACAGGTTCATATATGATCACCGAATTTAAGCAACGTCAAGCCTGATCAGTACCTAGATAGGTGACCACTTGGAAATACCAGGTGCTGTAAGCTTGGATGTACCAATGGTGTAATGGAATTATTAATCGGAGAAACGAGTTTCAATTTCACTTGGGTTCGTTATATTTATTTACGTGCAAATACCCTTGGGAAAAGTATGAATCCACCTCTTCTCCCCACAGCTATGGGTTAATTATTAAGATTTATATCACTAAACCATTCAGTCAGTCAGTTAAGTGCCATTCGTGATACACGTTTGGGTAATCATGTCTCTTTCGATTCATGTCTGACTAGGCTGAAGGTTTTCCTGAAGTAGTTTGGCGCTTCTTTCTGCGGAACTAACCCATTATTATCTCAAAAAAGAGAAAAAAAAAGAATGATTTTACAATTTAAAATATTTTCTGGTATTGAATAACAAGCAAAGGGTTGATAAGCCATAAAAATGAATGAATCAATCAACCAATCAACGTTGTACATGAAAAAATTTATACATTGAAAGAGTTTCAAAGTGTTTTCGACAAAGTTTAAGAAACGTACACGTAAAAAAAGCAGTGTGTGAAAAAGACGGTTTTTTCTTCGACACCGCTATTACTATTAAGGCAATTTGTATTGTTATTTATAGAATTTTCATAAAGCGCAAACATATGAAACTGGATTTATGCATTTTGTTTTTGCTCTCCTATTTTCTGAGATATTCCGATGTTCAATAGGGGTAGATAGATTCACCTATGGCCCGGTTCACACTTCTTCCCAGTCTTTTGATCAAGAGTAGAGGTTTATTCCTTGTTTCCTGCTTAGGATTGGGTTTCCGTTTCTTCTTCTAAAGTTTTCTTTTCTCTTTCATTTCCAGTAACGTCTTAGTGGCATTATCGCCTTACCTGGGAGGAAGAAATATTAACCTGAGGCATATTAGCTTCTTGGTAATTAATCTATCTGTTACTATAACAATTGCACGCCTCATTACTAAAAAGGTGAGATCAGGCTTCGTGACCGATAAATATATAGAGGCATTTTGTATAATATATTTTAGAATAAATGTTTGATTTTGTTCGACATCTATGTATTTTATAAAGAGTGTGATATTTTCCAAGACATTGTGTTAAACCGAACGTTTATAGCGATGATAAGATCTTTATAAGTGTGATTAACGAGCGTCTTACAGTGTAAAACCAGCATCCTTTACCAGAAGAGACACACTTCACATTGAGGCTCTGTTTGCTACGACAATGGGACCGGATAGGAGTGAAGATAGTAAAATAACAAAGTTTTCAGTAAGAGGCAATAAATAAATACCCCTAAAATGGAAAAGGAAAAATATGGCCGCTCTAATGGGATGAAGAGAAGGTTGTAAAAGCTTGTAGCTGCTTAAGGATTGGCACCTTATGAACAGTTCCCACATGTCGTACCAAAACAGCTGTACATATCTGGAAGACACATCAACTGAGAAACAGATCAACATGTGTATAATTCTTGAGGAATGCGCTTCTTCATACTTACTGATGTTGATTGCTTTTGTGTTAAGTGCATATAACTCCCCCCTTAAAACAAGCAATACACAACTAGAATAATATATATTCAAACTATGTTAAAAGTGGATAATCATATATGTTAGGTTTGTTTTTCGGTGTATTTCTTTCTTTCTTTTTTCTTTTGTACCTTACGGCGCTGAGTCATTTATGCTAAAATATTTGTTTCCTATTAAGTAAAGTATATATTTAATATCAATAATAGTCTACGCGTGTCTAATAATATTATATAGGTTAAGGAACGAGAGATTTACTTAATTTTGCTGGAGCAAACAGTAATAATCCCCTAGTTGTTTATGTGTGGGCTCGATGATATAAAACAAACCTTTCTATCGATGTAGATGCGCATGCGTGTGTGTCAACATATGCGCATGTTTTTTCACTTGAGAATGTTTCTCATCCAATATGTTTACTGGGATTATTAAAATGATATACACTTGATAGAAATCTGGTATACAGGCAAGGCACAACAAAATGGAAAGTAAGTGCGTGGGGTATGACTAAATAGGATGTTTATACTAAGGGAGGGTGTTAAATCAGTTCATAGTTTTTAATGATTCCTGATTCTGTATTTTTTAATTGATATTTACAAATGATTTTTTTTAAAATTGACTGTAAATATTTAAAATAGTTTTAAATACACATTTATTTTTTTATTTTTCGCTGGTATTTATTTTCTGGAATTGAATCTGTAGACATTTTCCTCAAATAAAACTTGAAAATTTTAGAAGCTCATATCAAAAGAAATCAAAAACAAAAAAAAGAAAAAAAAAAGAAAAGAAAATATCACGAAAATGAAGTTTTATAATTTATTTTGAAAATTAATGTTAATAATTATTTTAGATAAAGGATACTGCATTGTCATAGATTGAAGATAAGAAAACAAATTTAGTCTTTTGCTTAGTTCTGCGTTGTAGCAAAAAGTTGGTGTGGGGCTGGAACCACTCCCAGCCCTTCTATAGCACTGTGTAGGTGTATAATGCCATATACATAAACATAGGCTGGGCACCTCGACGTGGTGTAATGGTTAGAACTCTTATCTTTCTAGATCAATTACGACTGAGTAGTGAGTTCGATCCTCACTGGTTGTCCCATATTTTCGGCCTTGTGCCACATCTAAGCCGGGCTTAGAAAATCCCTACATAAACATGGCTAGTATATTTCTTACTATACAATGGGTAGAAGTTATTTTTACACGCTTTTGATTTTGTGAACGCTAAATATTATTTAAAAAAACAAAAAAACAAATTGTTTCTCATCCACTCCGAAGCAAGTATTTCTACAAAGGCTTTATTATTCATAACCACAATTGAATTTTAAACTGTATGTCTCTTTTTTTTATGTTCTATTTCTGAACCTTGTAAAGTACATTGCTTGATAGTTTTGACTCGTTGAGTTCTGTTTGATCAACAGGGCTGTGCAACTTTCTTGGTCGTTTAATATTTGGAAATTTTGCATGCGAAAAAGTAATATTTGCCTGACGAATACAGGATAAATACTTTTTTAAAAATGGGTTCCTACTTTCAAGGCGAGAGAGTGAGAGCGAGTGGGAGAGAAAGGGAGAAAGAGATTAATATTAATGAATGAATTGATCAGCTTTCTTTCTTTTCATGTGCCATGTCTTTTCAGGACGTAGGCGATCATGGCTCTCCACTTCTCTCTATTTATTGCAGCTCTCAGCAAGTTCTCTCCCTCTACTTCCTTCTCCAGATCACGTTCTATCATCCATTTGCTTAAGCCCGCCAGGTATGTCACGCATTGTTTTCACTTGTCTCTCTTTCCCTCTATTCGACCCGTGAGTATCAGATTCTCCAGGCTCTCCTTCCTCATTATGTGTCCCACAAACTTCAGTTGCCTCTTCCTGATGTTAAGTATAAGTCTCCTCCTTGTTTGCAACCTCTCATTAACCTCATCGTTGCTCACATGCTCGGTCACTTTGCAGTAACAGGCCAAACATTGGGATTTGCAGCCAATTTGTTAATAGTAGTGGCAGTGGAAACAGAGTCAGTATATTTTTTGGGTTGGTAGATACGTATTGAAACACTAGATGCTTAACTGAGAGACAATGGCGTTAAAAACGGATGGACCAGAGAACGGAAGGAAGTGAGAAAGAAAGAAAAAATGTTAGTGAGCAAAGAGAAGAAGGATATGGAACAGAGCTTTATGATGTTTCAAAAGCTTGTGGAATATTGTAGCCTGCCGCAATATTTTTTTTCTGTTAACCGATTTATGAAGATCAGTGAAGTTGGTTAAGCACTGCGTTACGGGTAAATAATTAAATGTTATTTGATTTTATCTTTGGGAAACTTGGAGTTGTTATTTGCACTTCGCAGCCATTTCTTTTAAGGTCATCAAATAAAAAAATGCGATATATATTATACTTTTTTTTATTAATAACAAGTAAGCATTTGACATATAATTATACATTTGTACAATTTAATATTTATTTACATTACATTTAAATGGTAATACACACACACACACACACACACACACACACACACACACACACACACATATATATGTGTGTGTGTATGTGTGTTTGCGTGTGTGTGTATACTGAGGTCAAGATCAAGCGGCGACAGTCTGTTTTATGCTTGAACGTAATCTGCAGGCCATCTACATCTACATTGGTTCTATCCCTGATATTGAGGACTTTTACCCATAAATATAGCATATTTAAAACTATATTTTTACACGCACACACACACACACATACACACACTGTATGCATATATATATATATATATATATATATATATATATATATATATATATATATGTGTGTGTGTGTGTATATTCTAAGGAATTAATGGATATCTATTCATAATCCGACATTATTTCTTATTAGTATAATCGTTGGAGTAGACATTATTGTTTTTAAGCAGTGAAATTGTTGTCTACAGGCCTGTTTTACCGTGAGTTTCTTCTTTATTAAATAGTCTTACTTTCCCCACTGTGATTTTATCGAGACATCACCTTTTGGTTTTATTTTTCATCTCACAGGGTTGCTAAATGCCCACCTCAATTTCAATAGATAGGAGTTGGGGTATATTTTTCCGTATTTTATGTGTTCATGTTTGCGTTCGTGTGCGTACCATCATGAAGACGTCTCTGCGGATATGCGTTCGCATATATATATTCGTTTTTTTTCACTTTATACTCGCTCTTTAGCATTTAACATTAAATTTAGTTAAAGTTATAAACAATATTATTATTTTATGAAATTAATGTGACTTCCTACCTTGACTTTCTCGAGTTAATAGTGACAGATGAAAATTAAATAAAGAATTATTTCACCATTCAGATTCGAAAAGTAAAAAATTTCGTTGCTGATTATCAGAAACTTGAATTTAAAAATATTTTATTTTATATACCATTTGTTTCGATAACCCATCCTGTGGCGCTTGCTTGAAGGGGTGGAATATTTGGTGGAACAGGGACTAGAAGAGATCGTAAAAAGAGCTACAAAAGACAGGAAATTATGGAGATCCAAGATCGCCCACATTCTGAAGGGACATAGAAG